GTGCGGCTGTGATTTATAAAGGAAAGATGCGCAGAAACATGCGTACGTACTGTTTTATAAATCTGAATTATTTTGGGCATACGCCATTTCCGCCCTTTGGCCGTACGTTCACTTTTAGTATGGTTTCCACGCAATCCTTTATAAATGAGACCCCAGGTCATAACTTTTTTTAATGTAAATTTCCTAAACTTCTATAAGATTCGTAAGTGGGGGTGAGGTATCTTTATATTAGTTTAAAATGTTTTCCAAACAATATTATCATTTATTGCCATAATTTCTGAGACGATTTATCGTCCAGCGAAATTTATCGTGCCAGGCCGATTCAAAATCTTCTGAGCTTATGCAATATTGCAGGTGTGGGCAATCCCGGTCCTCGAGTGCTGCAGCCCTTCATGTTTTACCTMTTTTCCCTGCTCCAACACAGCTGATTCAGTCATGGAATTACCTCCTTCTGCAGAAACCTGTTAATCACCCATTCATTCAAATCAGGTGTGTTGGAGCAGAGAAACATGTAAAACATGCAAAGCTGCATCCCTTGATGCCCACCTCTGCATATCATGTGACACTGTTATTTTTAAGTTTTGTCCAAAATGTCCTGACGCTTCTCTATAATCCAGGTAGAAAAATCCAAAAAAAAAAAAAAGAAAAAAAAAGACTTGAGATGAGTTCAGAGAAGAAGTCGTTACTCAACTTTTTCTGGCCTTTTCCCAAAATGTCTCTAGTGTTGTCATCTCTCAGCAGAGGATGATTTCAGTTTAAAACTGTGGCGTGAAAGATGTCAGACAACATGTTTTTCTGTAAGGAACTCTAGGCCTTTAATTGGATAATGCAGCTTGCTGAAAGTGTGTGACAGTTTCTTTACAAAAACAACATATGGCTCAGTTATGCATACTGAATGAACTGGTTGAACATGTTTGACCTTGTCTCTCTGTCCCTGTTCCCTCTTGAAGAACCAAACGTTGRCTCTCCTTATGTTCACTTCGGTGGGGACACTTTAATAACTGTGTGGTGGGAAAACTTTCTCAGTAATGAATGTAAATAAAATTCTGATCTCCTCGGAGTGGGATGACCCGTTCCCATTACTCACTGTTAGCAGATTTGCTAATGCGCTGTCAGCCTCTGTCTCAGAAAGGGGACAGTTTGTTATATTGTTTTTAGTAATCTGCTTGAAATCTTTGCCTTTCAYTATATCAGAAAGTACAAATTTCAGTCTGTAATTAATCTTTTTGATTATATTTATCTTGTCCAGAACAGGGTAATAATACTTTGTGTCCAGTACCTGCTGCCAAATAACATTAGAATAGATTTTTTTTAGCTTTAGAGATTTCAGCATGACTTGTTTTATAATCAGAAAATGCTTGAAATGCAAGAATACTTTTGTTGTTTATGGTGGAAGGATTCTAGAGAAAGAGAACAGCTCTGTTTGATTTATTTGTTGTTTTAATTAATTTTAATGGTTAGATCAAATGTAAACTGCTGGTTTGACCGTTTTTAATTTCATTGTATGTTTAGGTCAATTCAGAAATTTTAAATTGGGTTAAATCTTTTAAGTTTTACTAAAATCAATGCTAAATTTCTCTTTTGTCTCCCCATCTTTCTCTTCTTAGACTCAGGGCTGAGGAAAGAGCGGCGCAGGAAGAAGAAGATCACCAACATCATTTCCTTCGACGACGATCTGGACTGCGGGGCTGAGGACGAGGAGGAGGGAGAGGAGGACTCTCACAAGGCGAGGGCGATGAGGACGAGTCGCGCCGCTCCAGCTCAGAGCAGCGTGGAGGAAGGCGTAGACCCTCTGGGGCCCACCCTCTCCGGGTCCCCAGCTCAGAACGGCTTGGAAGAGCCGAGTGTAGTCAACTGGGTGGGCTCGCCACACCCGTGCCGCACGGCTCCCACAGCTGCACCCCCTTTGCCTGACAGTAAGAGCGTGGACAATGAGGATGAGGAGGAGGAAGAGGAGGAGATGTACAAACCCAGAACACAAACACAGGAGGAGGAGACAATCCCCACTGATCAGTGAGTTTCCAGCYGTTTATTCTTTTTAAAACAAAATAAAATAATTTATAATAATAATTTAAATAATTTAATCACCTAAATATTTCTGTGACTACAAACAGAAATGTGAACGAGGCAGGAGGCTGGAGCAGAGAGATCACACTCCTACAAGAATCACCCATGTTTTTTACATTCAGCTTGTTCATTTCTATTAGCTGTGAAATTATTTTRCTGCTGGAGGTGATAATTAGATTACAACAGCATGTTTCCTCTGGAGAAGAGGGAAAGTTGTAGTTTTATTTCACAGRTTATTGAAACAATTACCTCAGAATTGCTAAAATTCTAAAAGGGTAAAAAAAGTAGATTTTCAAATCTGATAATAGAAAAAAATCTGTTAGAAGTTTTCATTGAGCCACATTTCCTGCAAACTTTCCAGGAAATGCCTATAATAGCCTATATGAAACTTCAGATTAAACTCAGACTTAAACTCAGATTAAACAGATTAAAGGGTTGAACTGTTTGGCACCTGCAACCAGTTGCATGAATGAATGAATGAATGAATGAATGAATGAATGAATGAATAAAATGAACACAATGACAGATTAGACTTTGCAAACCATTAAACTACAAATTAAATATTTTTGTTTATTTTGAGTATTTGCAGTATTCAGTCATTTTCGATGCACGGTCACCATCAAAATTTAGTGACTATTCAACCTAAATTGAAGCTTAGCTGTCAGGTTTTTTATTCAAGTGTCATGCACCTCCATGCCCAGTCCATACAGCCTTATATGACACTTATCAGCATTAGAGAAATGGCAGCACATTTATCAATACAAATMATTCATTTCAGCTAGTGCTGGGCGGTATACCAGTTCGTACGGAAAACTGTTTTTTTTTTTGGTTTTTTTGATGATATGAATTTTCTGAATACTGACATAATAGTTTAAATAGCTTGAACTAAGGTTGGGCAATATTGACAAAAAAATTAATCACGATTAATTGTGGTATTTAGCCGATAATGATTAATTTCACGATTAATCCCCTGGAGTTCCTGGACACTCCTAAGTCCCAGTCACATGACCAATTTAGTGGGAAAGATTTGCTCTTCGGAAAAATCTGTTTCAAATTGTGTCAAAATTACAGACTTAAGGCTATACGTCAAATTTTAAATTGTGTTGATAAATATATTACAGAACTTTTTTTTTAATATTAGTCATATTTGAAGCAGAGAGGAGCACCGAGCGGACACTGTCTGGTGGCATTAATCATATTAATCATCAAGTGCCAAAAAGTAATCGATTAATGTTTTTCTGATGATTATTTGCACACAATACGACAATGCCCAACCCTAGCCTGAACGTGTTCCGAATGCTACATGTGCCCTCCAGTGAACTGTTTCATGGGGCGCACTTCCTCACAGCACCACTATGAGCATTAGCAAGCTAATGTTACTGTTGGAGCAGCTTCTCAATAACTGGTCACAGGTGGCGATTCTGCTGTTTATATTGAGTGGCATTAAAAAAACTCTTGTTTTTGGAATTTCTGAATGGAGTATGCACCTCTTCAGCAACATGCATGGATAGATTTCTTGCGCGACGTAAATTTGCTCGATGTATGGAGACATTAATGTGCTTTTATTGTGAAAAGCCTGGGGGTGTMGGGGGAGTGGTTTTGTACTGGGGTTGAGTTGATGGATGCACAGAGGCTGAGTCGTCCTGTTAAGCTTTATTAAATAACACAAAACAATACAACCGCTGGCAAAAAGTATGGAATCACCAGTCTTGGATGGGCACTCATTCAGACATTTCATTCTGTAAAACAAACTCAGATCAAAAACATGATACAATAATAAGGTCATTCCAAAGTGCAACTTGTTGGATTTCACGGTTTTAAAGGTAATGACGTCACTTCCTGAAGAGGAAATATAAGCTCAGTTAAAAAATAGCGAAACGCTATTTCATCG